CCATGCTAATATTGAGAAATCTTCATTCAAGTTTGAAAAAAATATCCACTATTAGAAATTTGAAACCTTCCTGATATCGCCTCAAAAATCTGTTACTATCAATTTAAAATTGACTACGATAAGACAAGACAGAAACGAATTGTAGAGAAAATTTTTTTTCTATAGATATTTATACGTCTTCATAATTATTAGAAGCAACTTAAAAAAAATTTTTTTCAATTTTTTTTTTTTATGAAGTAAAATAACTTATATAATACACAAATTTAAACAATAAATATACCAAATGTATATATATTTTTATATATTTTTTTTCAAAAAAAAATCAAAACAATGTATTCGGATTATGACTATTCCATAACTTTCTTTATAAGCTCTGTAATATATTTCTAGTTAAATTAGTTGAATATAAATTTTTTTATTTTGTAATTTATTTATTTATTTATTTACATAAATTTATTATAGAATATGGCAGATAATTTATTTGTAATATTATATACTTCAAACTAAAACCTATAAATTACTTTTCGAATTTCAATATTGTTCTGCCTTCATAGGATTTCATAAATCGTGGCTATATTATTTACTATAATGATTTATATTTAAAGCATATCAGCGGATTTGTATCTTCAAAATTATCCGCAAAATGAACCCAAATTTTGTACGTAGCAAACAAATATACAATTAACATGGATACATATAAAGATGATTTAAGGGGTAAATAGATACATAACACGTACGTAGTATAAATTTTATACTACGCAGCCGGACGTTGATAGCAAAAATAGTTAGCAAAAATAGCTAGTGAAATTAGCGAATTTAACAAAATAGCTTATTATAAATTTATATTTATTAAGTATAAATTTTAATGTAATCATATTTTTCTTTTCAATGAGTTCCCCGGTCATCATCTAAAATATGCGTATAATTACTCGTTTATGTAAATCAGTTCAAGAACAAAGTAGAGTGTGTTGTGATGTGATAAATTCAAATTGTGCGATAATTATGTAAGGAACCCTATACATATTTATATTGTTATTAAATTTAATTATCACTATACAACGTGATGATTATGATTTGAAGACATTTAATATCAATATCATAACAATTACAACAAAAGGCGGCCGTGATATAATGATAATTACGTATGGTGCAAATATTATTCGCTTAAAATGCACCGCATAATGCGACATAAAACACCTAAATTTAGTAAAAATTAATCGTATTTTATGTGTCTATTATGTGATCGCATCTGTCTGGTGTCTCTAGAACAAAGGTAATAATCATATGTTTAGTGCAAAAGTAGCAAATTTCGCATCTTAGAACAAGACAATTGTTGCTAGCTATTTGCTAAAAAATAGCGCCATTTTAGATGCTACAAAAATCCGAGGACTCTGATACTACGTACGTGTTATTGTATCTATTTACCCCTTAAATCATCTTTATATGTACGTATGTTAATTGTATATTTGTTTGCTACAAAATTTGGGGTTCATTTTGCGAATAACTTTGGGCGCTTTCAATGGTTCTTCTCCTGAGCAGATATTGTAGTGGATTAGGTGTATACATATTTATGTAATTGTGTTCAATTGTTTTCCTGCATATTATAATTGTCTTTTAATTCATGAGACAAACTATGAAACACTCATGAATAATTCATGAAATGCACTACTAACAATGATTAGACAATGGATATCTTCTTAGGGGAAGGACCGATTTTTTTGCTTGAAAGTGCCCTTTGAAGATACAATTTATGATCACTCCAGGACCAATTCCGTAAATCCGACGATATGCAATAAAATAACTGAATCTTCCAGCCTCAAATGTTTTGCAAATTAGTACAACTTTTGTGAAAAAATTATTACTTATAATACCATTCACTAAATTTAGTTTTATACCAATTAAAAAAATTAAAATTTTGAAAGTGGCAGATCTTTAGGGTGATAATACTGTATATAATAACTGATAAAATTAAATGTCATGTATGGAACGTATTTTAATAAATTCTAAAGTTCCGATTTCAAGATTATGCATGATGTGATATTTTTATAACAATCTTAATTACAATTAATTTTTCTTTAAGCTAAGGTTAATTAAACTTTGAGGCTAAAGCTAAATAGACAAAGGCTAGCGCTAAGGTTAATAAAAATATATTGGACTTAAGGTCGATCAGGGATAATGATGAATAGCCATTGGCTATCGTCATAAATAATAAAATTATCTGCCTTTACCTGAAACGTGGAAATCTTTAATTCAAATAAGGCAAAATTTCATTTTAATGTGTATCGAAAACAGTTAATTATACTGAATTTTTAGTATTATGAAATCATCTATAGATAGGATTTTCTGGTCTTCTTTTTTTTAAATTAGAAATTTTTACATATAAATAAACCTTAGCATGTGTATTAAAAAAGTTGAAATCTTTAATTTTTTTTTTATAAACAATGTTGTCCGAATCAATGTTCAAAAAAGTTTTTTTACGCCTTTGTTTATTATCTTTTTTGATTATGGTTGTTAAGACCGCACCAGTTCAGCAAATCAAATCATGCCTCGGTTCTGTCAAAGGACAAATAGTATTTCCGGAGAATCCAAATTATGCTCAAGACATTAAGGATGAAAATACTCGTGTAATGTTTCATCCTACAGTGATTGTGTTCGCAAGTAACGTAAAAGACGTGCAAGCTGCGGTCAAATGTGCAAAGTCTCTAAATCTATCTATTACTGCTAGATCAGGAGGTCATTCTTATGAAAAGTATAGTACTTTCGGTAAAATAGTTGTTGATGTCTCAAATTTAAATAAAATTATTATTAATGGTGAGGACAAGACTGCTATCATAGGTTCAGGTAATAGGTTAGGTCCTGTTTATTATAATTTAAGCCAAGCTGGATTTTTTATTCCCGCCGGTTCTTGCCCAAGTGTCGGTATAAGCGGGCACGCGTTAGGTGGTGTGAGTACCTATTACTGTATTATTTTATCTCGCTATTGTTTATAATAGCTGTCGTACTAATTTGCACTTTATTATAGGGTTTTGGGTTATATGCGAGAAAATTTGGTACCGCTTCAGATAATATTCTTTCTATTGATCTGGTTAATGCTGATGGGTCATTGATTACGGCTAACGCAAATCAAAATGAAGATTTATTCTATGCCCTTCGAGGTGCTGGTAGTAATAGCTATGGAATAGTAACGTCATTTACTTTTAAAATTCATCCTACTCCACCTAAAGTTACTTCCATTACGTTCGTCTACGACATCTCTAAAATTCAAACCCTTTTCGCTGCATTCAATAAACTTGGTCCCATACTAACCGATGACGTAACGTTATCCTTAGTTTTAGCTGAATCTTTGCAAATTAATGGTGTTTATCAAGGAACAAAAAAGAACGCTCAAAAAGCTTTGAAAAATTTTATTTCGTCATCGAAACCATCTTCAACTGAATTCATTGAACAATCACTTTTCGACAGTGTTGTAAAATGGGGTTTTGCATCAGCTAAAGATACCATACATCCATTTCATAGTCCCAGTAGCTTTAAAGGCAAGTCATTCCTTGTAAACCCAGCTGGACTTTCACGTGATGGAGTTCAATCAATTAAAGATTTTATATTAAATTCACCTAAAAATTGTCCAACCTTTGCAATATTTGATCTGTTTGGAGGTGCTGTGAATAGAGTTGCTGAAGATGCCACCGCATTTGTACATAGAAACATATCCTATGGAATTCAATTATTTAGGACATTAAATGGAAATTCTGCTACAAATAAGAAATGTCTTGATGATCTTAAGACTTTTGGTATCAAATATCAAAAATTATTTACTAGTTATAGCTGTTATCAGAATTATATTGATAAAGATTTGCATGATTGGCAAACTAGGTATTATGGTTCAAGTTTTCCAAAGTTAGTCGCTGTGAAAAGAAAGTTTGATCCAGATAATTTATTTAATTTTCCTCAAAGTATTCCTCTAAATATTCCTCAAAATATTTAAAACATTGATAGTTTAATTTTTTTGAAAAAGTATATCAGGAAGGTTTCAAATTTCTAATAGTGGATATTTTTTTCAAACTTGAATGAAGATTTCTCAATATTAGCATGG